CAACTATTGTCTGTTCTTCACCAGCAAAGCTTTATGGGAGAGTGACAAAGAGAAAGACACTGTTGAAAAAAGCATGGTGGTGGCAGCATCATAATGTGAAGCATGGTGGTGGCAGCATCATGATGTGAAGCATGGTGGTGGCAGCATCATGATGTGAAGCACGGTGGTGGTAGCATCATGATGTGAAGCATGGTGGTGGCAGCATCATGATGTGGGGATGCTTCTCAGCAGCAGGCCTTGGAAAGCTTATGAAGGTAGAAGGTAAAATAAATGCAGCAAAGTACAGAGAAATCCTGGAGGACAACCTGATGCAGTCTGCAAGAGAACTAGGACTTGGTAGAAGATGTATTTTTTCAATAAGACTATGAGTTGAAGCAAACAGCCAAAGCTTCACAGAAATGGTTTAAAGACAACAAGGTGAATGTTCTGGAGGCCGAGTCAGAGCTCAGACCTCAATCCAAATGAACTGTGATATTTTTGTTTTGTTTTTTGGCCTTTATTATAGATGTAAGTGGAGGGAGAGATAGGAAAGATAGGGAGTGTGGAAGGACATGCATGACTGCTATGTTTGGGACTTCCAGCCACTGTGTATGGATCACCTGCTCAACCTGTTGAGCTACTGAGGCGCCCTAACTATGATTTTTTTATTTTTTTTAAAATCCTTTTTAAAAATGTTGAGTCTATCTGCTCTCTTCTAAGTTTCCTTTGTAAACAACCTGTAAACACATCCCCAGTTTATAAGTCGGGATGCACGCGATGACGTCAGCACCAATAAACAACACTTTGACAGTGTTTTGCTTCCTGTGTGTGTGCTTTTCATTTGCAGCTGAATCATCTGGTTGAGAGCGATTCTTCACCTTTGATTATCACGTTGGTCTGAGGAGTCTGTCATCGAGATTTATTAAAGTGAAGATGCAGCCTGAGGTTAAAACCGTTTCAAGCATCAGAATTGAGTTCAAAAGCGTCTTTGAAGCATTTCATGGTGATGTGGTGAAGACGATCAGGAGACACAAACCACAATTATCATTACTGAAGCATCAATTACACTGCAAATGTTTTTTTTTTTAACATGACAGACAAGTCGGCTGCTTCTTCAGTGCATCGAATAA